GCACTGCAAATGAATATGATATCAGGGATAGACTCTTGGCGCTTTGTCATCCGATTGATCATCCATAACAAAACAAAAAAAAAGGCAAGTCAAATCAATCAGATGGCCACAGGATGGGCTTACTCTTTGAAAAGGGACGTAAAGGATGTCCTGAGGGGTACCCCCCCCCCCTGGGGAGAAATACCGGATTTCAAATATTCATTATAGAAAATCAATGATGTGCTGTACACAGTTAAGACGGCTCTTATGATGACTGTTAAATGTTTAATGGGGGGGGGGGGGGGGGCGGGGTGGTTCCTTCCTTTATTGATTTTACAAGGCCATCCTACATAGGCTGTGTGCAGTGTCTGTTCTCCTGTTTCAAACAGTGGGCCTTTTAAATAGTCTTTTTAATAATCTTTTTAACAAGCAACAACAAAGAAAAATCTTTTTAACAAGCAACAACAAAGAAAAATCTTTTTAACAAGCAAAATATGTTTTATTCTTTACTGCGTTTATTGTATATAATGTAAGAGGGATACCGTAAAGTGCAAGCTTAACTGAAGTGACTTGATCAAAAACATTAGGTGTAAAGAACCACCATAATGCAAACACACTGAATGGGCTGTAAGCTTGTCTGCTCTGTGCATTATTTGATCATTTTTATTCATTTTTTTTTATTCTGGTAATCTAGCCACGCTGTTGCAAACTGAAGTTCCTGCCTCCCACTCACTCATTTTATTTATTGCAGTCAATGAAGGTGAAGCTGCAGCCCCCCTCCGGGACGGAGTTGGCCCCCTTTAACCCCATCCTGCCCCCGGCTTCCATCACTCAGGTGATGCTGCTGGCCAATCCTTTGAAGGTAAGCATCACGCTCGCGCCACACCGCCCGCTAGCACGCATCCGCTGCGTCACGTGCAATAAATCATGTTGGCTGCACCGAAACAATAGGAAAAAAAAACTCATCAGTTGATTTATGTAGGCCAGTGTCCGGGTCAGATGTTCCCTCATCCTTTGGGTATCTTATAAACATTTTTAATAGCATGATGTCATGAGTTTCCTGAGCTTGCAGCATATGGGCCGATTTGAATAAGCCCTGTGTGTCCATCTGAGCTGTGGCCAGTCTGCAGCAGTTGAGTGACTTGCCATAATGTAGTCATTGATTTATTTTTTTTTTTTTTGCTCTTGTCTGTTTATTTCCTTAATTTCAGGAGAAAGTCCGCCTGCGCTACAAGCTTATGTTTACACTTGGGGATCGGCAGTGCACAGAGGTGGGGGAGGTAGACCAGTTCCCCCCGGTCGAAAAATGGGGGAACCTCTAGTCCCCCTGAATGGTCTAAAGGCAGAGTGATGGTACGTGGTGGAGAAGGTTTGACTGAGTATGCCAGAGTGAACGGGCACTGAGCAGGTTGTTGGTTTAGGATGTTTAATCGTAGTAGAGAAGTGCTGTTAACATTATGCCAACCGTTATAGTTTCGTCTGGTGTAATGTTTTATTTAGCCGTTTTTATTTTTTAGCTGTTTGGGTCCTTAACTGCTGAGCTTGGGATACGGCGAGAGATTGCACTTTAAGGATACATTCAAAGAAACATTTTGTGAAGGAGGGGTCCAGGCGTGCCTGTCTTCGGGTACATTTGGGGAGCAGCCAGTGGTTAGGGATTAACTTCAGGCCGTCAAGAAACTGTTTGCCTAGCGTGCGGTAAAGGCATGAAGAAGCCAGAAGACTAAGTGGGGTGGGGGTGGGGTCACCGCTCAGCAGATCGTTTCGTGAGCAGTTACCTCGGGGAGGGGGAAGCATGGCTGGTGAGAGGTGCCTCTTCTCCACCGGAGTCTGTCTTCAATACCTCATCGACGGCACGTGAGAAGGGAGCAGTCCAACTCACCAGATTCACCGGAGCACATGGCAGCACTCCGTTCTGCTTTTCATTTGTTTGATTGTTTGTTTGTTTGTTTGTTTGTTTGTTTTTTGTGCATTTGTTTGGTACTTGCCAGTGACCGTTGCCATTTCAGACTGTGCAGAGATGTTGCATATCGAAAGTGTTTCATGTCTGGGGTATCGACGGCCAACCTTTTGTTCAGGGTCATTTTTTGAGTGTCTGTCGTTATGGATAGTAAGCTTTTTTTTCCTCACATTTTGAATATTTTGCTTACAGCGCTGTTGCTGGTACTCGAAAGCGCAGGGTCTTTCAGGAACGTAGTGCAACCAACTGGATTAGCAACAGGCCGCTAATGCATGACAGAAGAAGGCCTTTGCGGTGTTTTCATTTAGGCGATGCTTTCTGTTGTACTTATTTATGCTGTCTGACAAAATCCTTATTCAGATGTTATGGTTTGTAATCCCCCCCCAAATATGTTGATCTCTCCCCTCCAAGGCCCCTCCATCCTTTGTGACTTTGACTGTTGGTAACCTGTACCAGTATTGCTTTTTTTTATTTTGGGGGGGGAAAGGCTGATATTCTCATATCAAATGTGCTCCCCTGTATATTGTTAAGAGGTAACGTTAATGGGCTCAGTTGGAGGTTGACTGCAGCCTTGTGTACGCAGAATATGGTGTCGTAGCTGTGGGGCCTTTTGATTGGCTGCCCCTAATGTACGTCTCCTGCTACACTCTCATCTTTCTGCTAAAGCCCTTTTCCTTGTCAGCACTGTGAACAGTTTCCGATGGGAAGAAAAAAAAAAAAAACGCTCCAAACGTTTATGTACATTGTTGTATTTATTGTCCTTTTAGGGGTTAGAGTCAACATACGTGTATCGTGTGGCTAACAGAACTTGTATATATATCATTGTGGGACATGTTCAGTTGCATGAAGAATTAAAGTCTTCATTTTAATTGGAATCAAATCTGTTTTATTTGCTTTGAGGATCTCCCATGCAGCTAAGTCAGAGATAAGATAAATATGTCACATAAAAAGCAGATCACGTCAGCAATTTGCAATGTGTCCCTACACAGAAATCCATCTTTGTTAATTCATTTTTGCCGGTGATGGGGGGGGGGGATTCTTAAACATTGTTTAGTTAGCAGATGTTTCATCAAAGGCAACTTGCATATAACTTCATAAATTGGCACACAGCTTTGTGTGTTTGAATTTAATTTCATTAAACTCCGGCATATTTTGGAGGGTTAGGGTTTAGTGCTGCAAAACGCAGTGTGACTCCCTGCTCTTGATCTTTTCAGAGACGGTTCCCTGTGAGGTTCAGCTTTCTGTCACACTAATTGAATGAGCAGGTTGACAATCTTAATGAAAATGACACTTAAAAGGTAACCTAGGTAACCTGCAACGTATGAAGTGTGTCCTGTGTTGCGACCCGCTGACCAGCTTCTCTTGGGATGGGACTGCCGGGAGGAAGAGGCAGTGCAGGCATCCCACCACATATTCACTATTCTCCCTGGAGTTTGGATTACGGCCTATTGTTGGCAGATGCACTGAAATGCTTTCTGAACACAATGCGTTCTGTCATTTTCCCTTGTTTGCAGTTTCTTAAAACGTGAAGAACATCTTCACAGACAGTGAAATGAAATGCAAGATCCTATTGTAATTGTATTGCATTTGTTATAAAGGAGCAATGACCAACACAACAGGGGTATATTTTTCCTACTGATTTTTAATTTTTTTTTTACTGTTCTCTGTGCTTTCAGCAAAAGGCAATTGGCAAAGTGCTGGAAGCCTATTGTAAGTATCTGTGTAATGATGAACCAGGACACCAATAAGGGTCGCCCTACCCAAACCATGACCAGTCATGACTGTTGACCCAGGCTTGCTTATCAGGTCATATTAAGACAGACCAGTTGGCAAAGTAATCCTGAAAGAAGATAACCAGCATGGACCTCTTATCACCCGCCCACCTCAGCATTTTCAGCAGCTGCTTCACCAGATCACATCAGCAAGGCAGGTATCGGTAAGATTAGTCCACTGCATGTACAGGAAGATGGGGGAGCTGGCTATCAGATGAGGCCTTAATGATCTGATACAAATTTATTTATTCTGTGGCCGAATAAAAAGCTGCAATTCCCCTACAGAAAAAGAGCAGATCGTGTTTTTCCTCCAAAACAGTTACATTGTCTTGACTTTTTCCTGCTGTTGTATATTTGCATTCCGCATTAACTTGTTTAAATTCCCTTGATTATTTGTTGCCACAAAATTTGAACTTGAAGCCTGCTGTTGCAAATGTGATCTTAATCATATTTCTTTAGAATCAAAATCAGAATCGTTTCGGAAATCTAACCTAAATAGAACTTTCAGAGTCATCTTATTTTTGACACCTACTTTCTGCCAAAGTCAATGTGAAATGTGAAAGACTTTATACAGATATATCCATTTTACATAACGACTTATCAAGTATGGGGTTGTAGTCAGCCATGAGAGTATGCCCAGAAGTACAGACCACCCACTCACACTTTAAAGGGAATGTAGAGACCCCATTTCACCCAACTGCATATTTTGGTTTTGGAAGGAAACCCAGTTGAACACACTTAGAATATACAAACTCTATGCACACACACAGGGGAGGGAACAGCGCAACAAACACTGGAAGTAAGAGACCAGACTGCTTGAGTGCCACGCCATTTGGAAACCAATACCAAATTAATACAATTTCTGAGAAAAACACTCATTTAGCTGATGCTTTTATGATAAAATAATTTGTTAATACCTATGGTTAATTTTTAAAAGATTATTTCAGTGACAATCATACATTTGTGGGGGTAGTTGTCTGTTATACGGTCATATCCCTTTGCTGTTAGATGTACACAAATAATATCCCTTAGAGAAAAAAAAAGCTCATACCCCTTTATTATTATTAATTTCACATAAGTGCATATATTATTATTATATTGCATATAAGTGGAAAACGTATTGGTTCTATGACAATAACAGCTACGTGCAAACTGTTAACGGAATAGGTTTAAAAAACGAAAATGTTGTGGCAATGCGCGCACTCGTAATGTGCGCATACCGAGAATGTCTCAGAAATACGTGTACGAGCATTCAGTACGTTGCGTCCCGATAACCTAGGTTCCGGCCCAGTGTTCTTTTAACCACAAAGATGCGCAAACAATCATGACCGCGCACGCAAAAGTAATCTATACAATAAGATTTGTGCGTGCGCGTACCCGCGAACTCTTTGTGTGGTGGCGTAGAGAAACGCGGAGGAAAAGCCATGGCGGACGAAAAACCCAAGGTGAGTAAAATAAACAGTTAGCTAGTTGGATCTCGTTTGAATTGGCTTATTTTAGAGACTACATATATCAAAGTAATATCACGACTTGTAAATTAATTACCTTAGTGTTGATTTTAGTATTTTGTTATTCTTCTAATTAGTGTGCCTGACGAAAATCCGGAGTTGATGGTAAATGAGGCAGGCGGTTAACTAGCGAGCTGATTACTAGTTTGTCTGCTAAAATATTCTGTTCTTTTTTTCTAAAAGAATTTTAGGGTTTGCATGCTTAACAGAAAATGTCTCAACATAGTATCCATTTTGATTTTTTTTACATGACCACAAGTGTACTTTTTGATGCGCGAACTACCTATCTTGCCTAACTAGTAGGCCTAGTGAACATTTGAGTGACGTACACCTAGTTAACTGGCTAAGTACTAGTTAACCCGATGAAATCCTATTGAATTATAAAGATTATACATGCGTTTTAAAGCGGCTTAAGGTTATTTTCAACAGCTCATATGCTATTAGCTTGTAATGTGTTATATCTGAATTAAAGCGTTTTGAAAACACTAATGATTTTCGCGCGTGCTCGCTATCACAAACCGCATTGCACGTGCATGCTTTTAATTACTAGGTAATTCGGGAACCGTCTAGTTTATATTTGTGCAGCCACTGGTTATTAAATTCTATATTTATAATATATGTAAAGATTAGATTACTAGTTTTTGCTGCAACTTCAATATCACACTGATAATTGTTTTTCTGAGGTTAGACTTAGCTAGATATAACATGTCAGGTCGTTATGCAACATTGGGAAGGGAATTCATCGTTTGAAAGGTGTTGATTTTTGTGTGGAAAAAATCGAAAGCGACGCATATCGGCTTGGCTTAGTGCGTTTTAATAATGTCTTTTGAATTCAAAGTGCTTGTAAACGTTTCGGAAAGTTTAGTTTTTAGTCTTGTACAAGTGTTAAATGCATGGCTGCCTGATCTGATTTTGCATCTCGGCAGTAAGTCAACATTGGTGACAGCCTATGAAAGCAGATTTTTTTTTCGCACAGTGAAAGCAGCTTACGGTTTGTACCCGTCATGCCGATCACAGTTCAAACTGAGCGCACCAGTGGATCATGTCCGTGCCTTTAACTTTATTATAATTTCGCATTTGGGCCCCATTCTTTTAATCAAGGAGAGCAGTGGAGGATGTGTACCAAATAAGGTATTTGCCTGTGGTGGGCATTCCAATTCAGAGAGATGCCTGCATAATATAAATACCTTTTAGTTGTTTTCTACCGTAGGTCGTAGGCAGGTAGGGACGCTGTTCTGGACACAAATACCAAGTTCAGAGAGGAAGCTCTGCTGAAAAGTAGGTGCTTAATTTGAATTGCTCTTATTAACGCATACAGCTGTTTATAAACATTTTCAGGTAAGGATTGTGGTGCAGAGAACCCGATCTGCATATTACACTATGCCGTTGCTGGTGGACTTTCTCCAGAGCCACCACTAACTCTTATGCTGGAAATCAACAGATTTAAAGTTCTGATTCATGCCCCAAGTCCTCTATTTAAATATCATATATTTATTATATGTCTCAGCAGACTGTTGTTCCACAGATGCTTATTTATATTTGCTTTGATTGATAGATCTCAAGAATATTTTGTCCTTGCTGTCAGTCCACTGGTGCTATGCATTGGGCAGCCAACAACTGGCAGGCAGCTGATGTAGTAATGTTGGACAGTCAAGAAAAAAAATCCCATTTCCCTCTGAAATGAGCCACTCGAACCCTCAAAGGTAGTACAGATCTCTGCAGTATGGTTTTTGGCTTAAAGTATAATACCTGAGAAGTCTGCTTACAAAATATCTAGAAAGCACTCTGAGAAACTTGCTTGTACTAATACACTATTTTTTGGGGGAAAATCATTATAGTACATAGAAAGATTAAATATGTTTGAGCTTCTCCCTCAATTCAGTTTCTATTTGTAGTATTTTGTGAGAATTGCATTTTCTTTTCTAAATGGCTTTTTGACCCTGTTTAGGATAAACGATTTGGAAGGTGGATCAATGGGCAGATGTTTTAAATGGCTGTTTATAGAGGGGGGGGGGCAAAGTCTTTTTAAAAGAAAATGTAATCTCATACTGCAGGTTTTTAGTTAGGCCTTTTTGTTTTGTTTTGTCTAGGTTTGTACTAAGCAGAACTTGTAAACTAAACATTTTGATGAAAAGGGGCTAGTTGAAATATCTGTTTGTTCTCCTCCGATTGCCTGAGCTGGATTTGAGCTGCAGTGGCCGGTCTGGGCCCTGAGGGGGCCCACTTGCACACGACCACCCGGAAATCGGCCCCCATCTCTTCCTCCCAGATATACTGGCTGTTTTGTGTCTTATTGCAAGTGCTGATGCATCACTGTGAATCTGTGTTTATCTGGAGGGCTTGAATTCACATTCTCCTGTCTGCCCCTCCCCAGGAAGGAGTGAAGACAGAAAACAACGACCACATCAACCTGAAGGTGGCGGGACAGGACGGCTCCGTGGTGCAGTTCAAGATCAAGAGGCACACGCCACTCAGCAAGCTGATGAAGGCGTACTGCGAGAGACAGGTAACGCTCAGTCCCCTCCTGCTGATCGAGCCCCCAGCAGACCCTCTCCCCGAGGCCCCTCCGCTTCACCCTCTGCTGCCGCAAGGCCTGGCAATTCTGAAGGAATTGAATAAAAGAAATTAAGAGTTAATATGCAGCAGGTGTGGCCGTTCCTTGCTAGCAGCAGTGTGCATTTCTTACTCTCCAATGGTGTCCTTCGCCATTTCACTAAAGCTCTGTTCACTTCCTACATCAACTTTTGCGTAGCTGTGGTCCATCTTGTTTAGTGTTCCGTAAAAACTGACCTACCAGGTTTTTGGTGCATGTCGATCCCAGAATGCCCCGGAGCAGTTGGAGCTGGAAGACATCTATCTCTGCTATTTGGGGATATGTGATAGCAGTGGCCTTTATAATCAGATCCGTATTTTTGTTTTTAAGTTTCTGCAGAACAAATCACATGATGTGTAGCTACATATTTTGTGGCAGTGGTTGGGGCTGTTGTTTGGCTGTTCTGCGGCCCAGTGTAAAACACAAGACTGCTGTATGTTTTGAAAAAGGATCTCATTGCCTTTCTGACTACACCTGCCAAAAGAAGGGTACCTGTTCTTTATGTTCATTTACCAGCACTCTTTCCATTCTGGGAGCTGATTATTTTATCTAGTTCCAGTATGAAACTCCTCGTGCTACCCATTTTCCTGATTCCCTTTTAATGCATATTTTCATACTTTGCTGGAGTTGGACTGAAAAGATTGCGTTTTATTCTCCATGCTTCATCGTTTGTGACCAGTGTACACTGGGATAACTCTATCTATGATTAACAACACTTTGTTTGGGTTTGTGTGTGATTCTGTTCAATGTCCTACCTTCCCTTCAGGGATTAACAATGAGACAGATCCGGTTCCGGTTTGATGGACAGCCAATCAATGAGACAGACACGCCTGCACAGGTACAGTAAACTTGAAGATAACCTGGTGCTTCCTACCTTTACTCTTCTTAGGATCTTAAACTCTGCAGTTTTGCTCCTTATTTGCAAGCAACGTGGTTTTTCTTTTTCTGAATCTTTCTCATTTGTAATTTTTCCTCAGTGGACCGAAACAGTCACCCAAAGATCATTACTTTAATACAGCAAACTATTGTAGAATCTATATTTCCAGTAATTTCTCATTTGGGGGCCTAGGCAGTTGTTTTTATTCACTTCTTATATAAATTTGCTGTTAAGAATGGAGACTCCAACGGTGAAATTTGGCATGTGATAATCATCGGTCTGCCAGCATTCATTCTTAATGCATGAGCCAGTGCTTCTTGGGCCTTGTCGTGGTGTTACCTGTGAGTCGTGATTTTTATTCGTTTGTGGCTGACTGTTGTGATTTTATTCTTCTTCACAGTTGGAAATGGAGGATGAAGATACCATTGATGTTTTTCAGCAGCAAACAGGAGGCCAATATTAGATCCAGTGTCCCCCAAGCTTCAGCTCCTCCGGATCCCTTCCTGTCTCCCTCACTCTTTCACCAGTACTTTTCCCTACACAGACCCCTCAGTCAGCACAGAATGACTTCCATACAAACCGAGGGGTCTTTGTGATACAAACAGTTGTATAGTGTTCTCATTCTTGCTTTTAGCTCCTTTTTGTACGTGATTTTTTAAATCACCAAAACACGCACGTGTAAGTGGTCCATGAAGACTCGAATTACGCAGCATTCAAGACCCAGAGTTGTGGATGTGTAATGTCTTTTGCAAGATGAGGAAGTCACAGTAAATTATTACATCTCGATCTCAGTGACAGTGCGGTGCAGACTTTTTTTGTGAAGTGTTGCGAAAGATGGATTTTATATCTTTTTTTTTTATATTGTAGTGGTTATGTTTAAAATAAAACTTGTCTTAAACATAGTTTGATTTGATCATTAAAAAAGGAAAAAAGGCCCTAATATGCCTTTTAGTCAAGTGAAATATCTGTATTGTTTAAATAAAAAAATAAAATGATTTTCATTTTAAAAAGAAGCTTATGTAGAATCCAAGCAAAATGGTGGTTTCTTCCTTAATTTAGACAAAATAGACAAAGCTGTGACTTGGTATGTAGTTTAGACATTTGCTGTTCAGAGTTATTTTAGTGACAGTTACACAGTAATAGTGGTGTTCTCATTAAACACATTTAACCTTTTACATAATGACCAATTAACAATTATGTGCTCTATTTGAAATTCCACCTCACTGGCATATTGTACTGAAATACTTTCAGAATGCCTCAGCTGGGAAGACTTTTGAGGTACTTTAGTGGGTATGCTAGTATTTGATGCCCTAATAGTATTAGGTATTGGTTCTTTGCACCCTGCTTTGCCTAGTTAAGGCCATAACTAGTCCCTGTGCTGCTGAAGCTCAGTGCTCTGATAGACTTGAACTCTTGATTTCCTGTTCTCTTCCTGACAAAGGAAGGTGGGCATCTGTGTGATGCTTTCATACTGTAATGCTAATGACAACCTTATAGTGAATAACTTTGGGCTATACTCTTCTATGTGTTTCCTATTATAAGGGCTCTCTGAGGTCAGTCTCAAACCCCGGGAGTAGTCATTTATTTATAATATTGACATTTGGTTTTATGCTGCACTTAGTTATGATCACTCAAAGTCCAATACAGCATATGTATTTAACTGATCTCAATCATTATTTCTTGTGCTAGTTATCTCCCCCAAACAAAGGGAGTTGGTTGAAATCGTGCTTGGAGTATTTCCAAGAATCAATAAAATCTGACGTTTCTTATTGACCTTGATGGATCAAGGCAATGCTGGGTATTATAATTACGTATGTTAAAATATTCTGATAAACAGTGGTTTAACCTTATACAAGTTGTTGAACGTTAGATAAGTTAACTGGTTATGTTGGGCAGGCAAAAATCACAGAAATCAGAGATTGTCTGTATCCCTAAGCATGCCCCACTGTCCTTATCAGAGATCATTATTTTACTAGCATTCTTGGAAACAATAGATGCCCTTTCAAGGGTAAGAGTAGTGATGAGGGGTAAGCACTTAGAAGTGATCTTTTTAAATTAATCCGTGCAATTAAGCCGTGTAATTTATTTCTTAGTAGAAACACAATTTTGGACAGACCCCTCAAATATGAGAATTGATTTATTAATAGCATAAAATTCTGGACAAATCCTTTAACCTTCGCTGGTATGTATAGCTCAATATATAATTTATGACATAGACCACGGCGAGGGATGGTGTGCTGGGGTTAAAAAATATAAAATTTAAAAATGTAACTTATCGGAAACTAGTAACCCCACTATTCGGAGACCATCGCCTCGCTTCAAATGGGGATCAATTAAAAAGCTCCACGGCGACGAGCATCACGCCGCGATGTCAAAGTCGAATCAGCAGCATGGCTAGTGGGCTTGCCGGCCAATCAGAATGCGCGTGGTTCCCTCAGGCCGCCCTCAATGGGTGGGTGCAAAACCGTGCCCGCTACTCTGCCTCTCGCAGCAGATTGTTCAATTTAGTCAAAGCCGGGTGGAGCCTAGTATGAGTCGCTGAAGCAGAGGGAGGAAATAACTCGCGATTGTCAAAAAGGCACTTTTAGTCGCTTCGGCCCAGTTCCATTGTAACAACCATAGCGGAAAATGACGACGACCACCACTTTCCAAGGGATGGACCCCGGTTCTAAAAATAGCTCCAGGTAAACTAAGCGGTGCTATGCATCTCGTGCCGTTTAAACAAAAGGACCGTGGAAGACCGTTATGTGCTCGAGCGCTGCGCGTCGCGCGGAGCACCATCCTGCTGTCGTTCGACAGCTGGCACGAAAATCTCTATATTTTGTGGATGAGGTTTCTTTTTGTATTGGATTCTCTTTTATCACCCCCGAATGCCCGTTATATTGTTTGCAACTGGGCGGGCACTTTTTGACTGCATTTTAAAAATTATCATTATTATTATTTTTTGCTGGCATCTTGATGGTGCCCGTACATTTTGTTGTTCGAGATGACTAGGTGGCTGGAGTATTCAACTCGATGGTCTTTGTTATCAGAAGCTGGCCGTCACTTTCTGGATTTCATTCAGCGGCGTATACCAGTTTTCGAGGATACATTGCGGAGCTGGGCGGCTTTATTCCCGTGGAGCTTGCACAAGAAACGCAGAATTTAAGTTATTCGTGTCGTTTTAACTGTTAAACTACATTGATGATATAGTGGTGTAGCAACACCCCCAGCCAAGTTCTCGCCTGCCGTATATGAGTAATTAAGTCCAGCTGTCTGGATTTATGGCTCTGGATGATTGCTGACTGGCTACCTAGCTGGTTATGTCCACATGTTTTACAGATTTCGTTAAACGCCGCTAGTTGACATTAGGTGGACCGCTTTGTCACCTTTTCTCCCTTTATTGTTCTGTGTGATTGGCCGAACCAGCCTCCCCTGGACCTGATTTTTTTCTATTCAGTACTCCAGCATTTTTCATTGTGTGTGTAGTGTGTGTCTGGAGAAGACGGTGTACAGACACCCAGTCTCTCCCATCCGGAAACCTAGCTGGTCTTTAACTACGTTAGCTGACATCCGCTCACCGGTTTCATCCGCCTTTTAACGTCGTAATTATCACAGATGTTTACGCTATTAACCTATGTCTGTGTTTTTCCGCGTGTTTGAATTATATTGTTTTCCTGTTGGGTGGGGTCATCTTCCCCAACTTGTCTCTTGTATATCCCTCTGCAGCGCCGTGTAAATGCATGAGATCATCTACTCAATGGGTTAAGTCGTCTCCTTTAAACATCGCAAGCTGCACCCACCGACCGCGATAAACGCGGCTTTTTCACCAAATCGTCGCGCTATCTTTTTTCTTAATTTACGACCTAGGGCTTGATTTACGTTTGTTTGACTTCAACAGCTGCACGGAGTCGTCTGGAAACAAATACTTATCTATAAAGTACAAAAAAAAAATCTGGTGGGGTGGTACGGGAGGGGTCGCGCAGTGGCTCCATTTTCTAGCCTCAACCACGGCCGTCCGCAGTGGCAGGATATCGGGTCTCATCCTATTCAGCCGTAGCTCAGTGGTAGTGCACCTCAAGCCTTGTGCTTAAGCAATTGTTGCGTTTTGGTGGAGGAAAAAAACACCGTTAGACTGGATTATTTGATATATAATATGCATGTACAGATGCTCGTTTTATTTTACCGCTTAAGTGTGGATGCAGTCTTTACATTGGTATTAATTTAGTCTTCATTTTATGTGGCGATTTATAGTACAATTACGCGATCAAATTTCCAGCATCGTGCTGTTCACATGTATGAGGATATTGGAAAGCACACAATCTGTCAGCGGGAAAATGGTTGGAGGCCCTTCTGAATGGAAACGAGTGTTTAGCTGGTGGCGAATCCTGCCACTGCAGCACACGTACATGTGATTAATAACGTATTGCAGATGCCCTTTTTTAATTTCCCCGACAATGTTTGCAACTTCCTCTTCGGCAGGAGGTCATGGGTATTTGGCATGTTCAATCGGGATATTAAAACTGCTTGCAGACCCGTAACCCTCGTTGTGATGACTGCATAGTGTGATAGTGCCTGCTTGACATGCTGCGGACTGTCTGCATTTCTTTGTTGGGTGGTCGTGTCAAATATCTTGGCCTGATTGAACTAGCTGAGCTCCTTCTTTCAGGGTGCTACGCCCTCCAGGTGGAGGATCCAACATCTCCTTCGGTACAGATGAGGAAAACCCCCCCGCCCGCAAGAACAAAATGGCCTCCAGCATCTTTGCAGAGCCGGAGGATCCCCATGCTCATCGCAGGAACAACCCACCTGGTAGCTAATCTGAATAACTACTAGCATTGTACCTTTCACTAAAGTTCATTCAGCTTCTCATGTAAAGTCTTTGCAGAGATCCTTCTCTATAACTTACCCCTACTTTGCTTGGTCCCAAATTAGACATTTTTTTGCTTTCAATCATTGCCCTCTTCACTTCATGACAATGATCTATAGCTCATATAATGCAAACCATTATTTCACAAAGTTTTTCAACGTGGCAATTAACCTGTTTGATGTAAATATTGTTTTAAAAGGTAATGTTAGTCCTTTTAATCACAGGGTAATGTGTTCTAATTTTGAATTTAACATCCAGTGTAATTTAGGTAATTTGCAGCATTGCAGCTATCAGTAGATTCACCACTTATTCAACCAATATTGTGTCCCAAGACCTTTGCTTTAATTTGTCATTTTCCTGTCTGGGCATTATTTGGTAGGAATGACAATGATCGAAAGTGTTCAGATTTAATTTGACTTCAATTTCTATACCAGTTCCTACCTTTACTAAGGGGCAGCGTGTGGCTCATTGGGCTAAGCCGTGTGCTTGTAATCACAAGGTCGCCAGTTCAAACCCAGCCTCAGCACGTCTGTCCTTAACCCCCAGCTCCCTTCACGGACAGCTTACTCTACAAAGAGCAAGTTGAGGGAGGCGTAAAAACAATTTCCAATAAAGTATCAATTATTATTATTATTATTATTAAGAAGGCTTGTGTTCATGCTCAATAAAGACACTACGCATTGGCATCTTACTGCAAGTATTGAAAGATTTGATGGGTCCTTTAGGGCTGAGTGGAGCCCTTGTTTTCCAGGTGGGCTAACCAGTTTTGAGAACTTTTGGTTCATTTGATCGTCTTATGTATCTAACCAGGATTTCATTGGCACTATAAGAAATGGGACACTTGAGGTTACTTTATTTGAAAATTCTGTAAAGTGGTGCATTTTTTTGAGCATATGTACATGTGGGCTTTACCTGACCTATACTTTGCATGTCTTTGGAGAAACTGCATGGTCTCAGCCTCATGGTTCGTGCATTTGCTTCAGTACAACTGTTGCTATGCAGTGAATGAAAGCTGTTTTATTGCTTGTCCAAGGATAGAAAGGCCTTTGTTGGTGCCTGCTTGGTACTGTATATTCACAAATGCCAGTTAATATCACTTGAGTACTTCCTTTATATCAATAGGCATCTTATCTGGTTTACTGCCACAGCAGACATTCTCTACGTCAGTTCATCCAATGTTATCTCCAAAATGCCCATATTATTGATATCTTGTTAATGTTGGCATTTACTACAGTGATTAGATGCCCCTTGGCATTCCAATTCAGTTTTCTGATCCTACCACTGTAAAATTGTACCCCGTGTCTCCATGTTGGCCTGGTCTAATTCACCAAATTTCTTCTACAGTTTTGTGTGGTTGTACATTCTGTGTAACATCTTTGTATAATTTAGTATGATTCTGGTAAATTTAGGCCCTCTTGCAAGCAGTACACTTTGATAGCGGTTGGTGGTGTGATTTCACCATTAGGCCCTCGAGCAAGGCCCTTAACTGATTTGCTCCAGGTACCCTGCTACTTCATTTGTATGTCATTTTGGACAAATGGGTCTGATGAATAAATGTAAATGATAGTGTTCTACGATGCTGCTCTGGTTCTTGACGACTCTGGGAGCATTTTAGGTTGTCATTTGGAAAATCCGGCAAATATGCTAACAGACAAATCCCATTTTTTGGAGGGGGGGAGGTTAGTTTTGTGTTTTCCCCATAGATCCTCATGACCTTAATCTTTGTGCCATCTTTCCAGGAGGGAAGCCCACCGGGGTTTTGTGTGGAGAGCCATCAGCTCCACTCAGACGATGCCACGCCCAGCCTGTTCAAAACAACTCTGCGACTGAGGCTGCCTTCACTGAGGTACAGTGTGGAGAGGGTACTCTCTTGTCTGGTGAAACAGCCTCCTCCCTGAGGGGAAGAATCATATAGATTTATGTGCACCTGTTACACTTAAATAAAATTCACCTGTTTCCAGTCATAGGCAACAGGTTTTAATCTTATGTGACATTATTACAGTTAAACAGCATCTTGTAAATATCTGGGGCAGGTTGCACAAAAAAAACCTTGAGTTAAGATTTTCCTCAAAGTCTCAGTTAAGGTTCCCTTTAAATAAAATTGCTAGCACAAAACACCCTAAAGTCTTCTCCTTAAGGTTTCCTTAAAATGTTCCCTTAACTATTTAAGTTTTTCCCCTTATCTTGCTCTTATACTTATGGAATCCCTTAAAGTTCCCTTAATGGTTGCAAAAAAACCCTTAAGTTTTTTTTCCTTAGTTTGGTTGTTAAGGTACCTCTGACCGTACCTTAACCGCAACATGACCGAGTTTATTGCAGTAAATGAAGAAAATGAACACATCCTGAGAAAAGTGTTCTGCAACTGAGAGAACCCAGTGGATATGATTAATGAGTAATTTATTTTACTTGACCAACAGTCAATTTATGGTTTTCTTTATACGACATGTGACATGTTTATATTTCATTATTAAATCTGGCTTGCAGAAAGATCTTGTGGTTTCACAGAATTAAACAACAATGTAACATTATCCCGCTAATTAGTGTTGGCAAGTTTCACCCTGGGCACAGGCAATATTAGACAGAAGTACATCGGTTATGGAACAAATTTTCCGATGCAGAAATATGGAAGCACATGCAAAAATGCATTTCATGTAACTGAGATACAACAACAATTCCATCTGCTCAATTTTTCCATCACTAGCAATTTCTCCTTTCCCAGTACTTCCGTGTATCTTCCAAGTTACCATCAGTGCTTAGCAAAGTTTGCCATATGCCCCTCTCACTTAGTCAAGCGAAAAGTACCTATTCATAGTGAACTAGTGAAATCACAATCCACATTTTCATCAGATAATGATGCAATGGGGACAAAAACCTGGATTTTTAATTTTTTTTTGATGTCCATTTAGATATTGTCCAAATATATTTCGTTAAGAGATAACAGGTATGAGCAGACGTGAGTGCAAGCAAACGGTCACCATGGGAACTGTACAATTTTACTGCCATAAACTGTCTTTCAATGCAGTAAATCCCTTAAGGTTTTTCCTAAGGAAACATTTTAAAGTACTCTGTGCAACACCCTTAAATAAATCCCTTAGCTAAGGAGAAATTGAATATTAAGTGTCATACTTAAGGGGAAAACTTAAGGTGTTAAGGTGCAACTGGCCCCTGATATGCAAATTATTTTGTTTTTATTTCATTGCTCACTCACAGGTGCCTTTGTTTTTGTTCTATGCAGCACTGCATGTGAAGATGCTGCCTTCTAAGGAGGGTGGGCAAAATCCTGACTGTTGGCTTATTTGCATGCATAGGTGGTTCTAGACTCGGTTTAGGAGGGCTTCAGTCCCCATATATTTTTTTTGTCTCAGCCCCCCTGAAAAATAGCTATTCTAAAACCATTTTTTGATTTTGTCGCATATTTTCATATACATTTTGTACCTTCTGCTCAGCAGACTTTATTATGGAAGACCCTGGTTTGGCTTCTTGTATTTCTTCAGGGGGCTGACTGACCCTAAGGTTCAAATCCTAGAATCGCCCTTGTTTGCATGCAAATCTTTTTATATGCATGCATTAAATAGTCATTACTTTCTTTTGTAGGATGGAAACAGTGAAAAGGCAAATGCAGGTAAGTGGCAGTGTTCTTATAGCACTTTGCACAACTGTACCATCATTTGCCATGGGTAAAGAAAATAATGGCTGACATTGAGTGAGAGGGTGTGTCCTTGGTTTTATGCAGGATTAACTAGCACCACTGTAAGTGTCTTGCACAAATAGTCCTATAGAGGGCAGTTGGAACCCCTTGAAATGAATGCACGTTTTTCCCTGGGTCTTCAGAGAGCTTAGGTGCTGTCTGGTATCTGGGATGGGTTTGTTGACAACTTCTGAAAATGCAACCAAAGGATATAGGATAGAAAATTTGTTTTTTTTTTAATTGTGTTTTATTTTTATTTTTTTAATTTATAATTTGTTCTCACCTTTTTATTTTACATGCATCCTGAAATGTTGCCTAGTAGTTACTGACTGGTAGGGATGTCACAATTTCATAGTCAGTACCAATACCAGTGAATTCTACAATTCTTGATATCCAGTTTGATACCATAAAAAAACAAAACATTCTGTATACTTCAACATACACTCCATTAAAAACATGCAATAATTACAAAAATCCATATTTTCTGTGATTCTGATATGGTTGGTTGTGCATGTATTTGCTTCACTCCTGCCTCTCTTGGTTGACCTCATCCTCTGGCTGACACTCTGAAAGAAAGATAATGATATTTCAGTAAGAAACAGCAGAGGGTGCACACACATGTAGTAAAGCACAGCTCTATAAACTCGGAGTGCAAGCAGTAGTTTACATTTATGGACATGGTGACAGACTGACTAATACGCTAACGTTATATTTTGAGGACAAATGACACAGACTGAATGGTTAGGGCAGAAGTCTATTACTACAAGCTATGGTTACATTGGGTTATCCTAAACACGGTAGCCTTCGTGATTAGCAAACATCATATGGAACAATTGGTTAAACAGTTGGTAACGTATTTTCAGGATAAGGAATAACACTTTGATATGTTTTAATGTAGCATCAGAATAAATTGAAACTCTCTCACCTTGAATTCTTTGAATTGGTCTGGATGCCTGTCTTGAGGTGCCTTGCTAAATGAAGCGTTTCCTCCTTTGGTCTGAAACGTACTGTGGCACCCTTTGCATATTGGCTTGCAAATGTATCATTACTCCTTCATGATCGAAAGCACAAAGGCACTATACACAAAGTACTTGCATACCAATTTTTTTTCCTCCCTCCCTGGATGAGTGGAGACAGAGCTGGCACCGCAGCTGCACGTTGTTTTTTCCATGCTGGTAGGCTTTCTTCTTTTGCCATTTAACGGCAGACTAGAACATTTGTAAGTGTATATGCTGTATCCGTCCGCTCTGGAAGAATTGCATCCCCAGTACTGTAGAAAAATGAGCACCATCGTGTTTTCAGAATTTTGGCCTCAACTTGGTACCTGAGTATCGGTTCTTGTGACATCCCTAGTTACTCCAATGTGTACAGCATTCATTCAGCTTTTAGGTGCTCCACAAAATTTACTTAGGTGCAGCACCTAAGCCTCTCTGTAGTAGGGAAAGCACTGGAATAGTGGGGTGTTTTGAAGCTGACATAGGATAATCACTGCTGTGACTATACCTGTAATTTGTAAAATTTGATGTTACATAAAAACAGCCTTTAAAATGAGTTCTTATTCAGTGGAAGCATTTATGATGTGAAACTCTGTCGGTTCAGTGAAGACTCCTTAACTGTAGATCAGCTATTAACTGAAGTGTGCTTAAAATTGTCAAATGGTATATCGGCATGATTTGATTCTTTTCCCTTTGTTTTAAGAACTACAGGAAGTGTAGATGCTAATAGTGCCCTGTTTAATCTTTACCTATCTGACACCGCGGCATGCTTTTCCCTCTGACTCCAGTTAAACTGTGAGTTATCAGTTTTTTTTTTTTTGTACAGATTTTATTGGTTTTCCTAGGTAAATTTCATTTCTCTTGGAACATTTTGGAAAATGTAGTATAAGGAAGTTTTTCATTTTAAATCAGAAATAAACTCTACCACAAAGTCCCTCATGGGAAGTTTCAGGATGTTTCTTTATGAATTCTGAGTTTTGGTTAATGTTATAACTGCTGCTAATACTAAAAGCAAAAAGGCAGTGGGCAGGTTTCATGTTTGTGTTCTTTTTAAGTAGTAAGTGAAGTATTTAACAATGGCTCAGATAATTTGAAACCCCAGGGCATCTTTAGATTATTTTACGTGAGTGTTGACTTGTATCTAGATTAGTTAGTTATATGTGGCTTGAGAAGGGGAAATGGCTTTTAAACTTGGTCAAACCCTGTGATCAGTTGGGTTTTTGACTGTGGGAACATACAAATTTCCCACACAAGAGCCCTGTCTGCACAGCAGTTGTCATGAGTGTAACGTGCTAAATTGCTGTAGTGCTGTCAGAGTAAGCGACAGGAAGCTGACAGGAAGGCCCTTCACCTTCACACTGTTTTGTGACAGTGGAGATCTGCGAGGAGCCGGAGCCTGTCCAGGAACTGAAGGATGAGGTGCCACTGCCCTCAGCACACGTGGATTCTGCTGGGGGCCCTGCGAACCGGAGAAACCCCCCTGGCGGCAAGTCCAGTCTCATCCTGGGCTAAGAGCTTGCTTTCCTTGAACTCATCTGGATTTATTTTCTTTTTTAAAGACGTCTCCCCTTGCTTGTCTGTGTGAGCCATGGAATTTTGTCCATTGTTTTGAATTACCCCCCCCCCCCCCC